TCCAGTTTCTCCACATCCTTTTTGAATTGTGGTGCCCATAATTGGACACAGTATTCCAGGTGAGGCCTGACCAAAGCAGTATGTCATGATATTTAACTTGCAAGTAGTTTTCCAAATTTTGTTCCTTGGCATTGTGTGATATGGGAGAGGCACTCACACAAAGAGAACGATGCCTGTGTTCATCATGGCATAAGCCAGGCCCAGGATGCCACTACCCATGATGGCGTTGCTTAGGTTAAAGACTGACATCCCAAACGAAGTCTTTCCCTCAAACTGCAAACCAGAGCATAAGGGGGAAAACAAACAAACAGAAGCCAGGTCAGAAGAAATGGTTAGAGATGTTTCTTCTTGTGCAGAGAAAATAAGAAAAGGCAGAATATTTCCACTATCATATATTCAAGAGCATTTTCATACTACTTTTCAGTTTAAAATCTCAAAGTGGTTTACTATACAAAACAGGTATAATCAAACCAATACAGGTTGAGTCTCCCTTATCCAAAATGTATTTTGGATTTTTGGAGGTTTGGGGATACCTGTATTTGTATCTATGTACATAATGAGATATCTGGAAATGGGACCCAAGTCTAAACACATTACATATACATGTTATACGCATAGCTTATAATATGTAATTTATATTTTAAATAATTTTGTGCATAAAACAACATTTAAACAAAGTGTACACTGAACCATCAGAAAGCAAAGAGTTACCATCTTAGCCACCCATGAAAAAAAGTTTTGGTTTTTGGAGTATTTCAGAATTCCAAATAAAGGAGACTCAACCTGTAGCTAACAATAACAACAGCATCCTTTAAAAACAGGAATTAACACTGTAAGTACTACAAATAAATAAGTAATAAAGCAATTTATATGTCTGGGAGTCAGCAGCAAAAGGAAATTGGATGACACAATGTTTAGGCTGGCAAGATCAGAGGTGCTTGTGTGGGGATGAGGGGATTATGGTTTTCACAGGTGAAAGGATTCTGGAGGGCAAGCAGTAGCACAATAAATTAATAAACAATAATAACATAAGGATTTAGACAAGGGACGTGGAAACATTGGTCTTCCAAGTGTTTAGACTACATCGCCAACAATTCCTTACCACTGGCCATGATGGATTAGGCTGAGGGAGCTGTAAGTCAAAACATCTGGAATACCAAACCTTCCCAACATTTGACTGAGACTGTGAGGGGTTGGGGGCTTTTCATGGATACTCTGCTCAGGCCTGAGGGCATATGAAACAAGATGGTACACATTAATGGAAAGATTTTGACAGTTGAAATGTGGAGGGATGGCAAATTG